GGGGTCACCTGATTTCAGAGGTAAATTTAGTGAGAAAACGGCCGCCAAAGTTTGATAACTTCAATAGCTTGAGAGCCTTAAAAACTGAAAAATCACAAATTTTGTGCAAGTAATTAACGTTTTTCAGTATGGATATAAAAGGTGTTTAGCGCGGAAAAAAAATTCAATAAAAGATTTCAAACCTGCGGAAAAATGCCAGTTTTTTCACTTTCATTATTTTGACGAGTGCCTGATTTCACCACGCTGCCTCACAATTAGAGTAAATAATTCAAGGAAAATATTGCATACACACTCTTTCTTACTAATAAAAAGGAAAAAATTGAGACTCATGTCTATGACAAAAGCGTTTTAATTTTAAAAAACAAACAAGTTACAGTGGAATTCTGATAAAGTCAACACCCCGGACAGAAAAAAAGTGTTGACTTTGAGCAAGATTGACTTTATCCCTTGTACTACTGGCCATTGAAAATTGAAGATGACAGCAACAATTTTACAAAGTACTTGGTAATAAACAAGATGTAATCTCAATTTCAGGGAGTATAATTCTGAAGTTGTCACCAAAACAAGAGATAATGGAAGAACAAAGTACATATGTATGTAATTGGAGGTGTGTACACAACTTGCTCAGGCGAAATATCTCTTCTTGAATGAATTCATCTTAGGATTTAGCCCCAAATTGTCAACTTTACGCAACGTTAACACTCAAGCGTTTGACTGTATCAGAAACACAATTACTTCAACAAAGAAGGTAAGAAACGGGACAACAGTGAGGTGTTGACTGTAAGCAAGAGTTGATTTTAAGCAAGTTGACTTTATCAGGATTCCACTGTATCTCTGTTATTACTGATCATTTATGCTGAAAAAAAAGTGAAATTAGTTATCATCAACAAATGCAGAGTTCATCATTATGTCAAAAATATTTTTTCACCTCTCAAAAGTGTAATATTACATAGTTCAAGAACCCCCCCCTTTTCTTACACTTTTCTTACAGGAGCCAAAGACCTCCCCCCCTCCCTCCCAGGCGTAAGATTATATTTGAACGGCCCCTAACCTCTGGACTACGAGAGCCCCTACACTTACTCTGACTAGTAGCTGGCGGCTCCACTGTGGTGAGCAGTTCTGAGGCGGAGCTGCACGCGCTCTCTTGTGTCTTTACTTCCGCCATCTGTGGGGTACAGCACGCGCACATACGTCTTTAGTGTCGTTTTAGTAGAGGTTTTGCTGTACTCGCAACACAAATTTACTTTTGTATATTCCGCTTGTACCGGTGGGTGTCGCGGGGGGCCACAAAAATTCAAATAAATATAAGCGCCGAAGATTAGAGATCTTACAAGAGAGTGACAAACACATAAAAAAAGTAGGC